TAAATTTGCCAGATTGTTTCTAACTCTATGGAATTTCCCACCATGGATCTCCTACAGTGTCAAATGGTTTCCTTCTAATCTGAGGTTATGTGGACATTTGAAGCTTGAATTTAGACTGACCACTTTGTAAAGTAGATTTACTTCTTCACAAAATAATAGTTTGATCAGCCAAAATATCCTCCTTACCGCATGACTATTGGTAGCAACACCCTAGCTAGACTTTGTTGATCTTGAAAAAGCTATGCTTGATCAGAATTGGTTAGTACTAGTATGGGACACCAGCACAAATCTTGAGACTATAGAATAATTTGAAAAGGTATGAAAAGAAACATCCCAGGAAAAGGCAGTTGCAAACTACTTCCATATTGTTGCCAAGGAAATTACACAGATAAATTCAACTCCAGGAAGTCTTTCTCTTTAGGTCATATCTGCTAGACCAGAGTCTATACTTCTGGTCTCTTGAGGGTTTGGTCCCAACCTGATCCCCAAATACATTGCTTCCCATACTTCTTCCTAAATGTGCTTTGACTTCAGGTCTTTCTCTGATTTTTGCTTCTCCTTTCTTTCATGTTGCCTACTTACTTGTCCCTAGTGATATCTGCACTTTGAGGTAGACCAGGTTAGGGAAGAGACCTCACTACAACTTCTTGAATACTATTTTATTGTTATAGGGTATAATAACAATAACAAAAATTCTCATCTTCTCTTTTATGCTAATGTGATTCAAAGTAGGGCAATTTTAAATTTCTTTGTCATGCATCCCTTGTCCTTTTAGATGTCAGCACTTTAAGGTATACCCGATAGGAAACATTATGAAACATTATTATGAAAGCTAAACCTATTTTTATCATACAGACCCTTGCAAGTTTGAATGCATTTACTCTTCCCCATCTCCTTATCTTCAGACATCTAGAAAAGGTCACATCAGAGACACTTTTTCAAATTATTTTTATGGACAGAAGTAGAGTTCTTTTGTCTGTTGTTTTGGTAACAGTTCTTCCTCCTGTTATTCAAGGTTATTCCTACTGTCCATTACAGATCAAATATTGAGGCTAAGTTCATGATTTCAAAATGACTCTTCTTCAAGGCCATCTCAAGTGGTCTAAGTCGCTCAGTTATTGTTCTTTGAGAATTTTCCTATCAAACTAATTATCAGATGATAATTAGATGCCTACACAAAGATATCTTGGCTCTTAAACTGTCCAAGAGATAATACTATCTTAGTTTTCTAGGGCATCACTCTATTGGCTAAAAACATTAGGTTTTTCAATTATATGAGGTTAGTATAAGGTTAGTTATCTTGTAGCCAATGCAGTCTTTCTCATTGGATTAGACTACGGACCAATCTAGTCCAGTATTTTGAATTATACAATGGGTAACTGGATAACTTGGGAAATTCAGAAGCCTGGAAGGAGGTTGAATACATTCTTATCACATTTAATTCAAGACTGTATCTTACTCATCTGACATTTTCTTTCACAGAGGTTCAGAAAAAAATGCAATGCCAATCTTAAATTTATAAATACCCAAAATAAAAACAAGCATCCCCCTTCCAAATAACATAGCCTACATCTTAATGACTATCAACGAATATTTCCATTTTTCCATTAAGCCAACTATTCTCTCACAGGCTGATTGTGGCTTTAAATTTTATTTTGTTTTTTTATTTCCCATTTCAGCCAACAATGAAACTTGCTACTTCAATTGCCTTCACTAACATCTTTCCATACTTGCTAAGTAATTATGCTTCTTTCACTGCCTTCTGTCAATAGAAATAGTCTTCAATAACACTGCAACACTTTCATTGTTCTTTTTCAGCAACCAACAACTGGGATTCCTAATTTACATAGTTCTGAGGAGAATTTATCAAATTTTAATTTGCCATTTCTTTTTATGTATTTTATTGAGTTTCAAAGAAGGATATAATTGAGGGAAACCTGTTTAGGTCTCATTCAATTTCAAACTTTCCCTTTAATAAGCAGTATACATTTAAATTTCAAAATATGATACACAGTGGAGAAAGATCAGGTATGGCAAAGAATTTTACAAGTCATAGTGAAGAGGTAGGTGGGTTGAATCTGTTTTCGCAAGTAAGGTAAGTGATCGGCCTGATTTTTTTTCTTCCCTATAAGCAGGTACAGATGGCATGTTTTGATCATATCACAGTTAGAAAAGTCCTATTAGATCAAACCAAAAGCCTATCTAGTAAAACTTCCTGGATTCCTCAATAAACAGACACCTCAATATACACCTCAAGGATCTAAAGCAATATCTTCCCTGTTCTTGATCCATGTCAGAAGCAGGCATACTATAGTCCTAGAACAGAAAGTGAACCTTATTAAAGATTACAAAGATTCATTATTTCCAAAAAAGAAAATGTGTAACATTATCAAATAGAATAACAATACATTTAGAATATATGAGGTAACTGAGGTGTAGGGTTGCTTATACTAACACTGAATTCTTTGAGAACAAGAAGCTATATGAATGGTCATATAGTATCCCAGGAAGTTCTCAGGAAGAAACCTCTAATCTTGAAGGACACCCATGTTGTTATAAGCATGTCAAATTTTTTAAAAATAGGCAATGATAGAGGAAACCAGTCTGCCACCCAGGCCTTGAGTTAGTTTTTGTTTTAAACAGCCAGAGCCCCACTTGGCCCTCTATTGCATTTTTATTGCTTCTTATATTATGACCTACAATTCATCCTGAATGAAATAAAATAAATAAACATATATTTTAAAAGTAAATGTAACTTTCATCTGCCCCCTCCCCCAAATTTGACCTCATAAACTTTTTACAGCTTTTAATTTAAACATTGGAATTATTTGTTTGTTTAAATTATATCCCACCCATCTCATTCTGCAAAGTGACTCTTAATTATCAATCAATGGCTCAAAAACCTGTTTATGAGTTAAAAAGAGTGTAGCTTCCCCGTTCCATTACCCCAGCTTTTAATTTTATATGCCTATAGCCTATCTGTCATTCAACCTCCAAGTGATTTAACTAGAAACATTGCACAATCTAAATTGCTCCCTGTCTGAATAAAAAATGAGAATCCCAAAGATCCAAAATGACCTTCAAACCTATGACCCACGATTGCATTTTAACCCTGGGGAAATATTTCCTGATTTAATATCTGTTAGTCACAGTTGCATCATAACTCCACTCTCTCCCTCCTGCCTCAGGTTTCTTTGAACACCACTATGGATTAAATCTTAACTAAACAATCCTTCTTAGCACTTAAGCAACATGAAAGTACTTTTGCCAAGAGTGTACTTTCTTTGTCTAAGGGCAACCAGACCATTTCAGGTCAGAGAGAAGGAATGAGTTTATTATGTGCCTATACATTGTTTGTTTATACACATTACCAAAATACTTGGCAAACTTTGAAATGAATGGCAAACCACATTGTATCAAATAATATTTATGGAGCATTTTTCAGTAAGTATGACCTGAAAGCTCCTGATCCTCCACAAGGGACTTCCTACAAATGAAATATGAGACAATAAACCAGTATGAGTTTGGACTGAATGAATTAAATATAAGGACAGGTGATAAAGAGATGTTTCACATATTTCAATGTTAACTTATCATACTTTTTTAAAGAATAGATTCTAAAGAGATGAGTTTGAATCTAGTTCTTTCCCTAACATGCTAATTTTCTACTTGAGTGAATGTTTATTTAATTTCTTTGCTTGATACAGAAAAAAAACATTCAGTCACAACCTCTCCAAACTAATTCCCTTATCTTAGCATGTTTATCAGAGGTCTAAAGAAACAAGGCCTTCTGGCTCAGATACTTACAGAATGCAGAATAACAGAGTTGGAAAGGACTTTGGAGGTCTTTTAGTCCAACATGCTGCCCAAACTGAAGACCCTATACCATTCTGCACAAATGGCTGTCTAATTTCTTAAAAAAACCTCCAGTAATGGAGCACCCACAACTTCTGAAGGCAAGCTGTTCCTTGTTTTTTTTAAAAAAAAAAAATCTGTATTTCCTGATAATTTTTTTTTAATGGTGACAAGAAAAAATTCTGCATGAGACTTGGGGGGTGGGGGGAGCTTCTACAAATCACTACATAAAATATTGAAATAAATCAGCCTTCCTCAACCTTTCAGATGACTTGGATTACAATTCCCATGATTCCTGGTTGGCTAAGACTAAATATGTATAAGGAAGCTTAATAAATTTCCATGAAAAGTGGTTGTTATTCGCTGTTTTCCTTCCTCAGAGGTTTTGCTTTGTCTTCTCTTTCAGTCCATCGTCTGTGTTATCATGTCCATAAATTTTCTTTAGGCTCCTTTCTATTTTCTCTCCTGACATTCATTTTCTATTGTAGCTTCTAAAAATGTGAGAAAAACACTGCTGTTTCCATATTCCTTTACAGGACAGAAATCTGACAGTTCACAATAACCTGGTCAGGAACTATGATGCTCCCATAAAGCAGAGGAGTTCATCCTAGGATCCTAGAGCAATATGTGGCCCTCATGATGGCTTGGATGCACAAGCTATGAGCATCATCAAAGGTTCCTACTGAATTTTAACTGGTAATTTGACAGCAGGGTTCTATATTTAACTTGGTGGGGAATAATCAATTGTACTGCAATTAAATGTGGATTTAAATTTAATCAAATTTAATTTTTAGTAAGACCCTACCCACTTTGGAGAGTGCATCTGTGGCAATTTACTTGGCTTAAAAATTGTTTCCTAGTCCTGCCATAAAGAAAGTCAGTCTATACTAGATTATAGGGAGCAAGTACAAATGAATATCAGCAAATAAAACTATTCTGAATATTGCAGTGTGCTAAGTCCTCTCACTGATGCCGAACACCCAGATCTAGAGTGCAAAAAGTACATGATGAGCACATGAAACAGAGGCAGACACACTGTAACCCCACCTTTCCTGAAACCCTGATGGACTGAAAACCCTGATACACAGAGATGTCCTTCCCTAGGGATCACATGACTTACCACAAATCTTGAAGGCGGATCCTCAGGGAACGGAGTTATGGTGGGAGGCAGGAGGAGCTTATTTCCCAGTTGCTCAGGAAGGCATGGGCAATGTAGAAGCAAGCATGGCTCTGTTTTTCCTCAGCCTGTGGCTCCTCTTGGGGGCTTGCTTAGGGTGCCAGCATCCCCTCTGTCAGTGCTCGGACAGAATGGCATTCATCTGCCAGGAGAGTGAAGTGACCTATGTACCACAGGACATCCCCAGGAATTCCACTGAACTGTGAGTAAAAAAAAAAAGAGAAGCAGACAAAAAACAGCCAAGTCAACAGCAGCTTTTGTTCTTGTCTTTCTGGGTCAGCTTCTTATTTGATAGGTCTGGCGAACATTTTCAATGTGTTTGTGTGGGGTGCAAGCTTTTGGGGGACTGATGATTCTTCCAGAGCACTGCAGCCCTTGAAGTTCATTCCCATGATATTTTGCAGCTGCAGAGCAAAGATAAGCCACCTCAGACAGAAGTTTAAAACAAAGTTTCTTTTGATAGCAGTGAATGCTTTCAAAATAATTTATTTAAACACCCAGCACTTCCTTTTTTAAAGCTTGAATTTCAGCGCAGTTGAAACTGAACAGAGCACATCTGCTTTGCTAAGAAGCTAGAAATCTGGCAATGGTCACTTCTTCAGGAAGAAGATATAGGTTTCTTGGCATAAACTTGGTGGTTTGTGTTAGGATCACACAGTTCTTTGCAGAGTTTCATAAAGAAGCAGGGTGACTCTCAAGTAAAGTCAGTCAAGCAAACAGTCCTCGTGAAGAACAGCAAATGAGAATAAATGAGACAGTTCATTTCTCCACACCGGAAGAGTTTCTTAAAGTTCTTATTCATTTCCACAGACATGAAGCAATTTACATATTGCTCCCACCCACTCCTGGAGCACCAATGCTATGTTGTTATTACATTAAAAACAATGATATTTTTTCCATCTCAAATACAAAAAAACTGTTTCTCCATCTATCTGCTAAATATTCAGAATACAAATGTGTGCCTATATCTGGTGAAGGTATAAAAAGAGTCCATAGCATTAAATCTTGTTTGATACAATTGAAGCCTTTAGATGTCTCAGAATTCAGTGGACCCAAGTAAGTGGGTCTAATGAGGCAGTCTTAACGAACCTCATGACATAGCTGTTACTGCCGAAGAGCTGCCTTACATCAGTAAAGTTTTATAGAATTATTGGGGATCTTTACAAAGAAGAGATCTTCTATGTGAATTTGTGGATTCTTTTTCTGGGAAAAGATCAATGCAGCCATGTACCACAAGGTAAAATGTACAAAATTTAGACGTGAAGATTTCTTCCCTAAATAAAGATGTAATAAAAAAAATCATATTTTCATGCAAGTCATAGCAAAAGTAAATAGACTGAGAGAGAACTGAAGATGACTGGGTAGAGAGATCATCTATTAGTAAATTTGTGTCTGGCTGCACTACTTTAATGTGCAGGTTGGACTCACTCCTCAAAATGAAATTCCATTGTTATAAAAGTAGTATATCAAGGCAAAAGCAGGCTGGATGCTATCTTTCATATATATATTTCTATGTGGTCAAATAGCATTAATGGAGAAATGTGATATTATGCAACTCAAATACACTTTCAGGGTCTTTCCTCTCTTCTTGATAATCATGGCACAAACACTTCCCAGCAACTTTTGTTTCTACTGTGTCCTCGTAATATTGCCTTCATCTTATCCCACCCTCCATTCTTCATAACTATCACTGCTTAGAGTCAAACATTTATTTATTTGTCAAATTTATATGGCTGCCCATCTCACACAAAAGTAACCAATTAAAACATTGTACAATACAGTTAGAAATAATAAACACAAATAAGACAAGATCAGGAGAGAGAATGCATTATTGGGGACCCTCCATAGTCAAGTATAGTCCCTGAACACTAAATTTCTGTCCAAAACAAGCCCAACAGTCAGCTAGTATGGGCAAGCTCCTCTTTAAAGCAACATTGACTTTTGTGGGGACTGTGAAAAAAAAGCAAAACAGTGGTTAGAATATCCTAGGGGAAGGACAGGGCTCATGAGTTGATTAACAAAATTTCCCCACATTCAGTCTTTGGTTTCAGAGCATCTGTATCCATTAATATTTATTTTGTTTTTAATGTCACCCTTTCAGATTGTTAGGCAGGAACATTAAAAAAATATCATGGAGGAAGGCACTGCCAAATACCTTGCACTACTGCCGAACTGCGTAGTTGTGTTCATGTAAACACTAGGAGTCAAGCTTGACTCAAAAGCATCTTTACCTTTCTATTTTTTGGGCAGTAAACCAAAGCTCTGGTTCTACCTCTCAAAAGAAGTATGTATGTATGTATGTATGTATGTATGTATGATGTATCTAAAAATTCATATTCTGCTTGAGAGAAAATCATAGTCAAAATGTAGAAATGGACAAACCACCACCAACTCTATTTCTATCCTTGTAGAAATTATCCTACCAATTCCATTTTTAGTCTTCCTGGGTTTTTTTACCTGAGGAATAATCACAAATCTGCTTTAGATTTTGTTCGAGACTAAATTTCAGCAGCGTGTACACTCTGTTTCTTTTGTAACATTTATTCTTCTCAGCTGTTAATCTCAGCTGTTCTTATGCAAAAGTATTCACTCAACAATCCATATTTGGAAGAAAAGCAGATGGATGAAGGAAAAGATAAAAAGTGTGCATTAATCAAACTCTTAATAGGCATTGATATTGATTCAATGTCTTCTTTTGAGAGTTCAAGAACATTGTGAAAAGTCATACCCACAATGCCTGGATGAGCATGTTAGACTGTAGGGATTTAATAGAAAGATAGGCCATATTCAAGATAAAATCATGGGGTTTGAAAGAGTTATTTAATCCAATCCAATCCAATCCCCTCTCAATGCAGGAATCAAATAATCATGCAGGAAGGAAGTAGGCTTTCTTTCCCTCTTCTCTCCTGAATCACAGAAAATGTTCCCTATAAACATTTTCTAGTTGGGCTCTTTAGCCTGTTGAGCAGAGTTGAATGGTCAGGATGGGCTAGTTTCAAAGACTGTTCCATTTGTATATGAATAGGGATGAAAGCAATTCTTTCCCTGGGTTTGTATGATGCGAATTATATCATTGAAAGATCTAGAAAGTCCTTCTGTACAATACACTAAGCTTGGTTAGTTGCAATTGTGGTTATGGTTTTGTGTGTATGTATGTGTGCTTTATAAAATGGGTTCATTTATTTAAAAAGTGTCTTAACCAAATTAAGCAAGTCCAATCATCATGTAGAGGCCTGCACAGATTTATCTTGGGGAAATATCCCACTGAAGACAATACTTAAATTAGAGTTCACAGACTTCCTTACGCATCAGAGTTTTTAGGTACTCAGAGAATAATGTGGAGATGTAGCAAAAATCTCCAAACACCCCCCCCCAATTTTAATCTGATTATTAAATAAGACTTTAATAATCAATTCTATTAAAGATCAATATGAAGATACTGCTCAAGATATGTATTTCACAAATGCTATAAATAAATCGATTTATGCAGTAACTTTGTGCAGAGAATAACAGAATAACTGAAAAGGTAGTAGATTATTACAAAATGGGTAGATTAATTTATAGAATACTGCCATCTCTTTTAGTGACTTGAGTTCATACGCTAAAATGTAATGTGGTCTGATTTTGGCTTACAGATTTCAGTTTTGCTATATATATTTGCTACACAGCTATGCTCTGATGTGCTTTTATAGGTTATACCCTCATAACCTATAAGGGTATTCAGATAAAGGAATAATTTCTAGTACAGAAACAAGCTCATTTGAAATTGTTGCTAGCTCACTACTATCTAGCATGCTATAAAGTAAAATTTAGATGACCTAGCATTATTTTTGCAAAGATGTTGCTTGATAATATCCCATAAGTACAGTATGCTATAAATATGATCGTGTACACATACAGGAGAGAGACTATAAACAATATAATGGAGTAATATAATGATAGCAGGCCAGATGTTGAATATTAGAAATTCAGAAATGCCTTCTGAGCCAAGGATTAGATTATCACTAGATAATCTAAAATCAGGCACTATTCTCACTATAGTGAGGATAAAATGAAAGAGGAGATCAAAAGAACATGGGCATCTCTCAGGGTTTCCTTTCAAGAAAAAAACGGGTGCAAAGTAAGTAGTGAGAGAGATAAAATAAAGTATATATTAAATCTCTCCAACGAAGTGCCTTACAAAAGTCCAAGGCAGTGTTTCTCAACTTTGGCAACTATAAGGTGTGTGGAATTACCCAGCCAACAAATTTTAGCCTTTCATGCAGTCCCCAGAAGTGTTTTGCACCTTTCTGGTTGCTTCCCCACACCTCCAATATCATTAGCTTGTTTTCATTGCTAATAACAAGTTCATGTGTTAGGACCCTGCTTCTTGGCCAAGATTTATATGACAGCCTGAGCTAAGAACACTGTTTTCACACTGGGAATAATAATGATAGAGATTACAGAAGTTTCCTGCCCTCACTACTTTGAAATATTCCTATGAATTTTGCAAGCAATCAAGGTTGCAGAAGATTGTTGGCACTCTTTGTCTGCTAACTATTGAGTCTAGACAGGGCTGATGAGAAGCCTAAACAAAAAGTTGGAATATAGACATCCAATGCTGATTTGCTCGCTCAGTTTTATCTTTGAGAAACAATTCTTTAAAAAATTACTGTCTTTCTGATGACATGTCCTTAAAGTAGATTGCACACTGAAAGATCTAAATTTATCTGCCAGGAATTTTTACAGGCTGTTTGGTTCAATCATTTCTGCTGTCTGATCTACGAAATAAAAAAATAGGGATGGGGTATATTTAATGTAATTGCATTCATCAACACAGACTTCTCTACCAACCAAGGGCTTGTAATGCATTGCAGACATCAATAGAGAAACCTTCAGATTAAACAAATGCATGTAGTTTTGAACCTGGAACATTCTGTAAATAAATTTACTTAAGAGGTCAGCTCCCTAGTCTGCTCCTTGAAACGGCAGAGTTTGGAAGTCACTTATAAAGAGATTTATTACTGGGAAGTTGTGCCAACCATCTCTGTTAAGTGCAGGTTGGGACATTTCCTTCCCAAAGACTGAACTTATGAGGAATCCAGCACTTCTTTGATGAAAGATGGAAGACAATCTTGAGTTCTGCATCAAAAAACATTGTGTCCTGATTTTTTTTCCTCCCACACTAGAGGGCATTGATAACTATGCTTGGTCTTATAGCAA